CAGCCCTGGGAAGGCCTTGGAGTCGGGCTGCCCTCCTTTGCTGTTCCCTGGACCCACGGCAGACGCTCGGGAATGGTCCTTCCTGAGCCGCTCGCCCGTTGCTGCATCCCTGGTGCATCTTCTGGCTCGTGCCCGTGGGAAGGCACGTGTGGGGAGAGGTCAGCCCGAATTTCCCCGGGGTGTAAACCCATTTGGACGCCGTCGCTTTTCCAGCTGCGGATCTGGCGTCTCTCCTCGCTGGTAAGGGCTTGTCGGGCAGGCATCCCCCTCCGGCACGGTCGTCGCTCCGCGTGCCACCACGAGCCCGTCAGGCCCTGTCCCCCCACTTCCCACCACCGTGCTTTTCCCGGGAGCGGGGATGGCTTTTTTTCCCCCTGCTTCCTTTGCAGGCTCGTTGGTTTGGTGGCGCTTGAGTGTTGTTTTGGTTTTTTGGTTTGTTTTTTTTTTTTCCGTGGGGGGAGAGGGAATGGATGCGATGGTCTGGATGGGACAGAGTTTCTTTACGGAAGCCTTGCAGCATTTCCCAGCTGTGCAGAGGGCCTTTTCCCGGGAGCGGGGATGGCTTTTTTTCCCCCTGCTTCCTTTGCAGGCTCGTTGGTTTGGTGGCGCTTGAGTGTTGTTTTGGTTTTTTGGTTTGTTTTTTTTTTTTCCGTGGGGGGAGAGGGAATGGATGCGATGGTCTGGATGGGACAGAGTTTCTTTACGGAAGCCTTGCAGCATTTCCCAGCTGTGCAGAGGGCCTCTAGGGTAGCCGGGCTGGACACTGGGGAAGCTTCGTCCCTCTCCCGTCCCTCTGGATTCGGAGAGCTCCAAAGCATCTCGCAGAGGTTCAGAGACCAGGAGCAGCCGGGACATGTACAGACCTCAAAAGATGGCAGCTCAGACTCTTGGGGTGCTCAGCATGCCCGAAACCTGCTCCTCAGCATCCTGGCCTTCACCGTGTGGTCCTGGTGTTTCCCACCCATTCCCGAGCAGCGCTTCCTCATGGCACGGAGATGCAGGGCACCCATCCCATCCCAGCTCCTCCCCAGCCCTTCCTCTTGGATTTGTATTTCTCCGAGGAAGGCGAGGTAGGGCTCAGGCCCGTGGAGGTCCCTCAGCAATCTCCTGTGCTTGGTCCCAAGGTCTCCTGCGGCAGCTGGCAGCGGGAATTAAGGGAATTAACCCAGGCCCTCCTGTTTTCCAGCCTCCAAAAGCTTTGCCTGATTTTTTTGAGCGTCAGAGCTGGCTGCTCTGGCAGGATCCTGCCCCAAGCCAGAAAGGGGGAGCAGCCCTGCATCGCTGGGAAGTGCAACATGGAACGATGTTATCCCTGGGGATGGGCAGGTCAGGACCCACACTCATCCTGCGTCTCGCCCCCGTCCCTCAGCTTCGGGATGTGCTGGGGAGCAGATTTGGGGTGCTAAGGATAGTGGCAAATCCCAGGCTCGTGTTGCTATGAGCAGTGAACCCCACCTCCAGCTTCGGTTTGGACCATGGGGCTTGGCCCTGGTGGGGACACTTGGAGCCCTGGCCCCAGCGGAGTTTCTCCTTGCCTTTCCCCGTCTCCCGTGCACAGGGCGGGGGGTGGTGCTGCTTCCCAGCTCGTGGTAGGGATCCAGGTCAAGACGCAGCTCTGAACACGCCGAGATGGTTTTGGCAACCCGTTGCAGCCCAGTCCACCAGCATTTCGGGGATGGATGGCGGTGAGGCTGCTTGCAGCTGGGCTGGAGGCAGCTCCGGCTGCTTTGCCGGCTCCCATCCAGCCTGGATTTTGCTGCAGGAATGGGAAGACAGGAAAGCAGATGGCCACTCTCGTTGAGGGGGGGGGCTTTCCTGGAGGACCGAGCTAAACCCATCCATCTCCATCGCTCCGCTCGCGGTTTGCTCTTGGGGGTGGTTGGTGGGGAACCGCAGGTTCCTGCATGCAGCGGCGGGCTTCTCCTCTCGCTGCCGGGCTGTGTCCCCCGGGAAGTGGTGCCGTACCCCGCCCCCGGCCAAGGGGGAGGCTGGCCATGGCCTCAGCCCCCCGCAGGCGACACGAGGTCTGGGAAACCAAGCCACAGCTCCAGGGAGGTCCCCCAGGGCAATTCCAAATTGCAACTTAAATGTTGGTGGGGTTTCTTGCTTGGTTTTTTGGCATTTTTTTTTTTAGCATGAGATTTTGGCCGTTTGAGCTCGGATGTGAAGTTTTGCTGGAATCTCAGGATTTTTCCAGTCCTCTGCAGTCCCAGCCAGCTCGCCCATCTCCAGCAGGGCTTTGCGGGGAGGTGCAAGGGGGGCAGGGGACAAGCATGGGGGGGCTGAAGGGGCTGGGGGAACCCCGCAGAAGGCTGTGTTGCAGTGGGATGTGGCTCCTGGCGATGGATAAATCGCTCCACACATCTGCTCCGGAGCATCAGCTCGGTGGGAAAGGCGTTGGGAATAACACAGGGACCGTGCCCTGAATCCCAGCCAGCCGATGTGCTTGGGCACTTGGGCTGGGGTGCCTCGTTCCTCCTCTCGCTGGCTGAACCCAGGCGCCTGGTGCCCTTCGGGGTCTGTTTTGGGGGGAAAAGAGAGAAGGAGGGTCCTGAGGGTCCTCAGCTGCTGCCAGGGGCCTCTCCCGGAGGAAGAGGTCTCACCTCTGAAGCTCCAAGAGCTCAGCATCGTCCACCCGGACACAGTCTGGAGCAAAGCAGGGTCGGACTCTGACCCTGCTCCTGTGTTGGATGGGAGGATGCTGTGTGGTCCCGGGCGATGCTGCCTCCTCCGCCGGCACCGTGCCCGCTGCCGAGCCAATGCTCTTCATCCCTGAAGAGGCCTCCTTGGCCACTTAGGGCTTTTCATCCTCACAAGGGCGCCTTTGGGATGGGGAGCAGAGCCGTGGCTGGAGTGGCAGCTGGGCAGAGCGTGCCAAGGCCTTCCCTGACCATCATCCCATCCCAGCAGTTTCTCTCCGGTGGCTCCGTCCGTTCCGTACGCAGTTGCCTGATGGCCAGGGCCAGCACCATCGGCGGGACTCTTCCCAGTGAGCAGACAGAACTTGTTGGGGCCGAGCATCCAGCTGGAGGGCAGGAGCCAGGGATTTTGGGAATCCCAGCCCTGATCCTTTTGTGGATGCTCCCATCCGTGCTGGGTTTGTGGGGCCGTGTCTGGGTTTGTCCCTGGGTGACCGGTCTGGGAACAGGCTAGGTGAGAGTGGAGCAAGCTTGCAGCAAGCGGCTGGGGAGGGGAGACTCGTTAGAAGCAATTAGGAAAAGCAGGAGGAAGCGTAAACGAGGGGCATCTCCAGCCACGTTGGAAGGTTTGGAAAAGCTCCAGAAAGCTGGAGGAGAGATCCCAGCTCCGAAACCCAACCGAAGAAAGGGGCTGTGTTCGGGGCGAGCGAGCTGCGTGCTGCCAGCCGAGCAGGGGAGGAAGAGGAGGGAGGTGGGGAGGCAGGAGCCCGCTGCGTGAAAGGCCCTCTGTGCTCTCCGGTGGGGGGCGGCGGTGCTGGGGGGGTCTGCGTGACTGTGATATTGGGGAAACTCATTCCCCACCCACCCAAGAGGGGGCATTGCCCCGGTCTCCGCGCCATGCGATGGGGTCGGCGCGTGGTCCCTGGCACCCATGGTCTCGCCCTGAGAGCCGGCGCTGGCTCGCTGCCTGGAGGCGGCCGTGATGCCGAGCTGGTTCGTGTGATGGCACGTGCGTCTCCTGCCCCCTCCTCGCGCCTCTCCGAAAGCCCCTAGCGTCGCTCCTGCTAGGGGAAGAGCTCTCAATGCCTCCCTGTTGAGCATCTCCTGGGAATGCAGTCCCCAGGAGAGCAGGTCCCCTGCTCGTCCTCCAGACCTTCCCCCATCCTCGTCATCCCCCCCCCACCCTGAGGCGGCTCTTTCTGGTCCCTGGGAAAGAGAAAGGGGCAGGGTAGCAGAATTAATCAGGTCGTGCATCCCGTGGGGGTGCTGGGGAGCAGCCGGTCCTGGAGGGCGCTGGGGGGGATGCATAGAAGGAAACCAAGCGGGGACGAAACCAAACCCCCTCCCCCCGCCCTTCTTCCCAGCGCTGCTTTCTCCCTCCTCTTCTTCATGTACGCCCTGACCCGCGCTCTCGCAGGGCTGAGGTTCCGTAAAAAGGGGGGATCCATTTCTTTGGGGAGAGCAAAGCTCGTTGGTGCAAGGTGCTGGCCGCCCCCTCTCTTATCAAGGAGAGCATTTCTTTCCCGCAGAGGCTGCTGAGCATTTGGATGTTTGGCTAAGGCTGCTCTTGACCTTCCTCTCCAAGATTTGCATTGCAGGAGGATAAGCATCGTTGTAGGAGCTCGGAAGCCTTTTTCCAAGCACTGCTGGCGCTTTCGCCCCTCCCAGGATGCGGGCGCCTCTCGGGGGCGAGCACTTGGCTCCCCGCTGAGATGAGGGAGGGTTTTGCTGAAGGCGAGGAAGGGTTTTGCCGAAGGCGAGGGAGGGTTTTGCCATGGGCGTGCGGGTTTGGAGCCTCAGCGTCACTTAAAGCGGTGGCCTTTAATGTAGACCGAAACAAAAGTAGGGAGCCCAAGCCCCGTCTGACTGCTTTACGGTGGCTGAGAGGAGGTGCTTGAGCCTGGGACAGTCCCTGGTGAGGATGGAGCTGGGTGATGGGGATGAAGGGCAAGCAGGGGGTTTATGGCTTCAGGTCTTGAGAGCCTCCAAAGACGGAGCCTGCGCAGCCTCGCTGAGGACAACGCGTGTTTTTTCCCCTCTTTGCTCCAATGTATATCAGATAATCTCTCCCCGATTTACCCGATGCCTCGCAGCAGAGGCCCAAGCCTGGGGGCGGTACCCGGCGGTGAGCGAAAGGGGCTGAGTGGGTGGGGG